AGGCGGAGCTTAGTTGGTCCGATCGGACGCGCGCAGATACTGATGAGGTATTTCGGGGGCATCCGGGAACGGGAATAATCATGAAATAGGAATATCGACAAGAATCGCTCCGTAGCCGCTGTCATGGTTATGCTGTAAAGATCTTCACGTCCGTGTCTACGCAGTGTTTTGTGTGTCTAGTACTACGTTACAACTACGTATTGAATTTGTCCATACATAAGAATTAGGGAAAACAGAATGCCATATTCAAGCAGATATCCACGTGTTACCTCAAACGGATGGACATTACGGTTGTAACGTGTCGATGTACACAATAAATGCATTGAAAAGAACTTATCAGCTGTCGTTGCGCGGTTCGGTGTTTTAGACAATCCTTGTTGACAAGGCAGACCACAGTATATATATATATATATATATATATATATATATATATAATAGCAATATCCAAACAGACACTGCGATATCATATCGTTGCGTTTTTTTCGAGGATTGCACAGAACGCAGCATCACTCCTGAAGGAAGCGTGACTTTTGGCGCAGGCCGCTGGCCAAAAATGCCGCTTACTATTATTATTAGTAGTATTTGATTGAAAGGGCCCGAAGTAAAGGACACTCTGCTGCCTAATAAAGCAATGTTGCCGTCAGCGCAGAGACTATGCTGAATATTGACTCAGCAATTAGTCGAGCGTTTCTGATAGGAACGAACAAAGAAGGAAAGAAGATAACCAGCAATCGAACGAGAGTTACTTTCTGGGTATAACCGCCGATCGTCCGATGACCACGCGACCGTCGCAACGTATTTTTTCCTTGTGTTTTGCGTATATGCTAAACAGCTGCTGCAGCAGCAGCAGCAGCAGCTGTTTAGCAATACGCAGGATGGCAAGTCACTGGACCATTGACGACGAACTTACACAGGCCTCAAGAACAGAAGTAACAATTTAGAAGCGAGGATTAGCCCCCGTTCTTGTTAGTGGTGTCTTTCGAACTCGACTCGGAAGGCGAGGCTGGTCGGGATCTTATGTGACTGAATCGACCATCGGTCGACGACTCGGAAGCGTACGTAGAAAAGTACAATGTCTGAGAGCTATTTGAATAAGTATAATGAGGTACCGTAGGTGGTACGTTTTGCACAGAGTTTTCACTGGGCATAATTATGACGGTAATAGTATTGAATTATAGCAATAATATTGATAACAGAAAAATCGTCATCGTCGACGTAGTAACTTCTGTCGTTATTTTTAATTCTAGGTTTTGTAGAAGTCACTCTGTAGCGAACGCAGCACACACGCTCGTTGCTTTAATTAACTAATTAAATCCCAATTAATCACAATCCAGCTTAGGCCATTTTGGCGCGGGAAGCAAGCCTACCACTTGCTACTTGGTGGGTTTTTCATTTTGCTGGAGATACTTGTACGAGGCTACGTTACGTGCTGGGCTGTCTCGGGCCGCGCGTACCGTTTTGTACCAAGAAGCGTTCGGGCGTTACTTGTTGTATGTTGTTGCCGTGCGCCAAATTAGTCGACGGGGACGTATGAGGAAACAGCAGATAGTTTGTTTGTTGGCGACAAAGAGAAAGATTTGCATTGTCCAGCCAGTGTCGCTAAAATTAACGCGTGCCATGTTTACGGCGCTGATAATGATAAACAACATATTGGATAGCGTCGAGTTATCTATTATTTACCATATATATATATATATATATATATATATATATATATATATATATATAGCGTGTCGCACGGCATAGCAGTACGCACGGTTGTGCCCGAAATGGCAAGCTCGCACCCATCCCGTTGTCTCGTTGGTAAGGTCGACAAGAGTTCATTTCATCAAGCTGTTACCAATTATTGATGCAACAGACACTAATAAAGAATATGCGGAAAAATCGTCGCCCTTTTACGTAAAGGTGGCGACGTAATGGCTATTATATCGATGGCCATTCCGTTGACTTCCGCCGCTGTCTGTACAATGCGCAGATTTCTGTTCCTCGTCAATGGCAATGCGTTGCACTTTTTCAAATGGCTGTAATCTGCTATTCTGTTGTCTATCCGTTCATTTGTCGGTCCGTCTTCAGCAACATCGGGCTAACAATTGTCAGGCGCTGGCAGCTAGTTCTTCTTCTTCCAGTGGTTATGTTTTTCCAACTTCTGCTTTCCTCTTCTCTCAGCGGCGCTTCCTTGGTATTTCCATACAACGAGTGATCCTGGGAGTTGGTTGTCACACTGTCGATTTTTTTGTCACCTTCTAAGCAACGTTCGACGAACGCTAAAATGACCGGGATTCATATTATGTGTCGGCTTGCTTTTTACTGTTGAGTTATTAGCGTTGTTGTTGTCGTTGTTGGGAGAGTAAATCGTTGCGACATGAGGGCTGATTGGCTGGCTCCTCGTTTTGTCATCGTTGCAAAGGCTTCCATACAGAGCCAGCTGTAACTGAGCGCTTTACGGCGCGAAGGCGGGAGTCTGTCAAACGACAGCAGCAGCAGCAGCAGCAGCAGCAGCAGCAGACAAATAAATAACGCCGTTGTCACTCTGTTGTTGAATAGCAGCGAACTAAAACGTGCATACCATAAGCGTTATCGTTAACGATGCCAGCACTCGCTATATATATGTATCTACGCGTCAGTCTCAATTGTATGGGTCAACGCAAGAGATGCTTGGCAGTCGGCGATGACGTGCCTCGTCTCCACTTTGCCACTTCACGATGCGAAAGTATGGAGGAAAGACTGCTGCTGGCGACGTCTCCGGCAGGAGCTCCTGTGCGCTTGCCAGATAACCGAGCGCCGTTGTCGTCGCATAATAGTCATATGCTTTTTCGCTCGCTTACTCAGTCAGTTCTAGTTCTTCGGCGTTGCCTGCCATAGCGACTGTTGTTATGATGACGACCATTCGCTTGGCGACGCCGCTACCTCTCGCTCATAGATCGCTCCGTGCTGATTGGTGCGTCAAAACATCATCGTCGCCTACAAACTGGTAGCACTAGTAATCGTTTGTGAAGGGGGCAATAGCTATCGGGCGACGACGATCATTCGTCGTTGCTACTAAGAACGGAAAATGATTTGACCGTTTTCGCTGAGGCTGTTGCTATTGCGGCTGGCGTTACTCTGCTACGATTTTGTTGGTTCCATTTTGTACTCAACGCTCCACCGACCCAGCCGTGACTTTCGAGAGGAGGGGCTACTTTCATAACCGAGTTCATCCATTATAGACGATAGTAATGGGTCGTCGCCACGACGAGCAATGCGGCGTACGCAAACGCCTCGATCAAATACATTTATATTAACGCAGACTTGTAGTAACCTCGATTCGAGTCGATCTCACAACGAACGACGGCGGTTATGGTGATGATGATGATGGTAGTGAAATGGCCAAGGTAACGAGATAAGGAGGCGGGTCCAAAGCCTCCCCGTCACGTCCGTTTCGTGGGGCGGGTTTGCTCCGCTTTGCGCACGCGACTTCAGGCCCGTGAATCCCGACCTCAGCAATAACCGACAATATTAATGTAACAGTAGTCGCATTTCCTGCATATTATACACACAATTGCAGATCCGCTCAATTGCAAAGTGACTTTAATACGACTTAAACTGTATTACCGAATTTCGTCGTGAGCGCGGTTATTAGATAGGTCGTTCCGTCGATCCTACCGCATTGAGCTGACCTGTACAGGTTCGATCCGTAGGTATATGAAGCACAGAAGCTTATCTTGTCGCACGCATTTGCCGACACACGATTTAATCAGATTACGACAAATTTGTCAACCATAGGATCATGTGCTATTAGTTCAATAAATACTTCGCGTGTACATTTCTTAGGTACATGTGGGACTGTGCACCGATAGGCTCTTTATCTCGAGCAAAAACAACGTTACACGACCATAGCTGTAAGAAGCTAATACATTTTTTATTTTCTGGAAGCCATGATCGGCGCCGTTACATAGTAGTCGCCTATAACAGTAGTTTCTAACTAAACAGTTGACAGCTTCTCTGACAAGAAGTGTCTCTGAGAGAGAGGGATGGATAGAATAGTTGGGCTGGTGTAGGGATGAGGGTGAAGAGCAGCAGCTAGCGAGCGACAAATGTAAACCACATGTGTATCGCAGGTCGCGTCGTATTCGTCCGATTAATGTAGCATAACGATCGTATATCTGGCTGCCATAAGTGCTGCAAATGTTGTATTGACACACAAAGCCATTCAAAGGAAAAACGACAAACGGGGACTCCGTGAGGAGACAAAGCTGGGGGGTAGAGTAACGCCTAGCACCTAGTTGCTCTTAGTGCACACACTGCCTTTTAGGTTACAACCGACTCTGGCCATAGCAGCAGGCTGTGCAAACCGCGTTCCTCTGCTACTACATACGCGCATATATATATATGCACAACCGCACATTCGAGAATATAGACACGTCTATGTCCTCGAGTGTGCGGCTATGCAGTACCTAGTACTCATTTTGTAGTAAGTGTTCTTGTCGAGAGCATCTTCCGTAATGTAAGAACTACCATCGTTTTGTCGCTCACCTATGCTTAGTCGTCTTAACACCAGCGCATCTAGTAAACGACCTGTCCTCATCCAGTTTATACGTCCTGCCGCTGGTAACTGATTCCTTGTCTGTTCGTATTGTCTAAGGTCACGGTGAATCTAGCTTGGCCTGTATCCTAAATGCGCCCTGTCCGGTACTGTCAAAACACACCGAAACAATTCTAGCGATAATTACAACAAATTTTAGCTTGTGCTATTAAACTATGAGATCATGTCGTTGCGACCTCTGTCGTGAGAGTTTTCCGCATCATCTTTCTGTAGCACATGAGTCTTCTTAAACCTGTTCATTGCGTTGTTAGACATTCTATGTTATTCAGCGAAGACTGAACATGTTCGTCATGGTAGGTGGCGTCCGTCACCCAACACATTAACAGCAGCCGCAACATGTACAACAAGAAAAATTCAACACTGTATTCTTTATTGTGTTTCCTTTGTTTCTGCGTTCTTGTCCGTGTCAATTTTGCAGAAGGTGTCCGGGACCCGAACGGCATGTACGGCGGAAGATCATCACAGCCGAAAAAGAAGCGGAAGTCTCGGACGGCGTTTACGAATCATCAGATCTTCGAGTTGGAGAAGCGATTCCTCTACCAGAAGTACCTGTCGCCAGCGGACCGTGATGAGATCGCGTTATCGTTGGGTCTGACCAATGCACAGGTGATTACGTGGTTCCAGAACCGACGCGCCAAGCTGAAAAGGGACATGGAGGAGCTGAAAAAGGATATGGACGCAGCGAAAATGCACTCTCTGCACAAGAGCCTCCTCGAGAACATTCAGGAAATGGGCTGCAACTTTAGCAAGGAGGCCCTCCACCAGGCAGCGGCAGTTGCCTCGGCAGTGGCACAAGCGCAGGCCCAAGCTGCGCAACAGCATGGACATCCAATAGGAGCAGGAGCAGCGGGTGCAAGCGTAGCCGGGGTTGCCGGACCTTTAATGGCCGTTGGCCCTGGTGGACCTCTGCTCGCGGTGCCCGGCAGCGTAGCCCCTACGCCGTCATCAGCAGCAGCAGCGACAGCAGCACTTCGGGCGGCGCAGGCAGCCGCCGCTGCGGCCGCAGCCGCTGCCGCTGCGGAAGCGGACCAGAGAGCCGTCAGTTCACCGCCGTCGATACACGAGCTCAGTCAGTCTCCTCCCCGACCCTAGGCGGTTTGCAGCAGTCTGTTATTATATATACATAAAGAGAGAAAAACGATATATATATATATATATATATGTATGGAAGCGATACACATATTTGATGGAAGCAGAACCAACAAGCTCGTGCTATGGCTATTAGCAGAAGCAGAAGAATGATGATGACGACGATGGACCTGATACAACAGCGGGACGTGATACGCGTTAGATCTACGGGATGAGCGGTATCAATCGGGATAACGTTGGAAATGAGTCACTGACGTCGTTGAGTGATGAACGATTGGATCAAGTCATTGTAGTAGTTGGTGAGGAACTGTTATCGACATTGCTTTTGAAGAATTTATAATGCATGTATGAAATAAATCGGCAAAGCGACATTCGACAACGAAGCCTCCGTGGATACATAGGAACTATTTCGACGAGCGCCCGATTGATCGATGAGTAGATATAACCCATCAATGTCTTGCATATGGAGAAGAACAACATAGATCTAGATCGGATATCTACACAACGAACACGTGTCGTACGACTAATCGCCAAAAAATTAACTAATGGTGTAACACTTGATTTTAGTGAAAGAAGACAACAATGATCGATACCTTCAAAAAAAAAATGCAAAATCCATAAAGACAATGTAAAGTAAAATAAAATAAAGTCAATGAAGACGCCACTCTCCAACTTTAGTAAGAAACTCGTCCTCGCGGATCATCATCTTCATCACGAATCGAAACCAACCTTTGTATATAAACTGTGAAATAGTATTCAGATTATAACTAGTATTATTATCTCGAACCCTATGTACTATGCCTACAAAAGGTATTTATTCAATCTCGATTCCGGTCGTCTGTCTTCGCTATGGGAGGCACGCTTCTTCCGCTGTATCACTCCGTTATCTATGTAAACACATAAACACATAGAACACCGTCGAATGGTTAGATTTAGGGTAAGCCGATTTCCATGAAGCGTTCAGGTTTGATATTAACTGATTACTCGTCTTCATTGTGTAACAATTATCCGCTTCTATGAGATAAAAGCCGCTCCACCGCCCAAATATAGATGATATAAGCCAATGGAGCGTATACGTACGGCGTCAATCCGCCAACGACGATCATAACTATTCTCAGTAGCGATCTGGTGTGTCTGATCTCTCATCTTCTGGAAGATGATAGCATATCTTATTGAATTGCGGGAATCATTTTTACGTAACCCGTTGGTCGAGTCTCTCGTTGACAAAATCAAGTCCACTGCAAACGATAGTCCAGCTGTTACATTTGTTTCCGCCACTGCATTTTTCCTATCTTAGCTTTTCCGCACGAGGCCGTGAAGCTTTCGGTGCCCCCACTCACATACTTCAGCTTATCGCTTCCTCTTCATTCACAACTGTCTCTTTATACCGCAAGTGTTGCTGTTTTTTTTTTTGTCAAATTTTTGTTTAGAGATGAGTTTTTCTTTTCTCGCCCTTCTCCTTCCTCGTCGTTATCTCTCTGTTGTCGTTCCTTGTACAAATTACAACAGAGCTAGAGAGCCTGCCCTCTATCCTTATTGTAAGCAGCTACTGCCCCTGATCGCGACCACCGTGGCTTCTTCAGGCGCCGTTTGTCTCTGTTGTAAATGCGCAGCGCACGAAAGTCAAATTTGTCGTCGCATCAATTTTGTTGGACCTACCGTCGTTACCGCCGCCTTTGTCTTCTTGCCGTCTCTGCTGCAGTGGCTATTCAGCGACTTTTTCCTTTTCTTCTGTAACTGAATTGTCTGCCTATTTTTTTTTTGTCCGTGTTGACGGCTTTCATCGTCGCGAAGTGCCGCCCATGACCGACTCGTGATCAGTGAGGTCGCCTCTTTACACTGCTATTTGATTCGCCGCTCTTACGGCAGCAGCCACACGGCCAACTTCTGACAAACGCAGCACTCTTCTTCACGGTGCATTTGAAGTGTCCACACTCAGATGGCCGCGTTATCGTATCGGCAAAGCATCAAACAAGAGGCAAATGACAACGTTAGTACTTCCGTTGGCCAACCATATTTCCATTATTTCATCATAGCTTGCCCTCGTCAAACTTGTAGATTTAACCACACCAATCGACTGGGCAGCGAAAGGGTAGGCAACCTTTGATAGCGCCCAATTCACTAGTTGGACGATTGTGATTTGTATTCGGATTGAGATACACAGATAGCACGATTGGAATAAATCGATTCGTGTATGGCCTCTCCCTTTGTCTTTCAGGAATGTTATGCATGTACGTGTACGTATGTACGTGGCACACTGTACATGTGGGCGTTTTCCATACATTTGTCGAACTGTCCTGTATTTGCTTAAACGTGCACGCCCCCCATTAATTCGACCTGATGCTCATTTTGACGATGCGTAAAATCCCCCGGCAGAGCTCCATGACCCCACTCTGTCAGTTATTTCGCATGTGCTCGAGCTGCTTTTCTCTGCGGATCTTCAGTTTACCAAACTGATTTAATATTAACTTATCGCCTTTGTTATTGTTGTTCGCAGTTTTACTGATCAGGATTATAGTCGTAGTTAAAATTGTCAATTTTGAATGTGGCAAACATTTGTGTCGTGTGATGCGTTGTTTACATTTATCACCGCCGAAGCGGACGACAGGTCGAGCTGGCTCGCGACGTCGTCTGTCACCCCCGTTTATGTTGCATTTGGTCATTCCTCCCTCTTCATGTTGTTCTTCCCTACTCATCTCGCTGGCGCCTGCGGAACCGAAACGTCGAGCACACGCTGAGGAAAGAAAAGATGGCGACCACGACGCTAATATCAGTAACGCGGCATTATATCTGCCTGCTAAACCAACATTCTATGCTTTGCCACTTCGGCATAGGGAGTTGTGTCTAGTTGTTATACATATATACACATATATGTATATCTCTTACTCTTATGTTCTTAGCTCAGTTTGTGCGACTCTTCTCGATTGGCACCTGGAGCTGAACATACGCTCAGCAATGGCACTACGAGTGGCTCGGCAACAGGGAGAGGCAGGATCGTTTAGGCGGGTTCAGTGGTTTGTATACGTTCTCGTGGTCGTGTGTGAGTGCGCGGCTCACTGGCCCACAGATTTGGTTCTTTTTTCCTTTCATTGGCTCGGTTCCCACTTCATCTTCCTCTTCTATTTTGCTCCCTTTGTGTGTATGCTTGTCTCGTTTTCTGTTAGTTGACGCTGACCGTGTCTGTGTGGCTCCTCTTTCCCAATTCAGACGTCGGTTCGCTGACGACGCCGCAGCGGCTGCATTCGTAGTAGTAGTGGTGGCGGAGGTGTTCTTGATGTTGGCGATGATGTCGCTGGGGCCCCCGGAGCGCCCGCCCCTCCAATGTGTCAGGCTAAACGCCCGTTATTAGCCAGACGAAAGGCGGCTGCCGCCACACCGTACCAGAACCCGGTACGCGGCGGCGGCGGCGGCGGCGGCAGCCACAGAAACAGCTTCCTTTATAGCGCTATGCATGCATGCGCTTAGATATACTATTATAACACATGCATGAAGAAGCAATAGCGCCTGACATTGCGCCTGCTATCACAACTATCGGCAGGCAGACTGAAAACGAGCAACGCAATCTGTATCGCTGGCGATAGTCGAACATAAACGTTCATTCAGGCCATCCGGTTTTTGGCCAGGGACAAAAGGATGCGAACCCAGAGGAATCGCCGCAAGGCCAATAACGCTAGATGATAGAGAAGAAGGAGGTAGCGAGTGACACAATCATGCTAACTCTGCGGTCGCACTAGCACCATCAGCATCGCCATGATGACGATGGTGGTCATAATGATGATACAAGACGGCGATGGTTTCTCAACGTTTCAACGTTAGACAGAGCGAACGACAGACTTACGTTGCACCCCGTTATGAACTGAACAAGAAAGTTATAGAAAGAGAGCGTCTTAGGATTGTCGATACGATAGGAGGGAATTCAGCATAGTGACTCTAGCGCCACGACCTAAGGCGGGCCTTCTGACGAACTCGGTATTTTGCGTATAAATAACTCTCGAGTATTAGTCATACTGACTAAAGTATGTATGATAGTGATCCAAATACAACAATATTATTATGATTACGCTTATTATATATATATATATATAACTCATTATATTGGAGCGGGCATAGAAAGATAGCACACAACACCACGGAAGAAGCAGCTCTCTGCGCGAGGAATCGATACGGCAACAGTAACAAGAAGCAAAAACAAAAATACGTGTATGAACGCACTTGTACATAGAAAGCAACAATAATAGATAGAAAAATATTATGATTCATAGCGCAGGAAGAACTCGTCTATGAACTCGATGATCTGATTATTACGGACAACACGATGATGAGAATAATTATCATTGACAATACGATGCAAAAATAAAAAAAAGATCTGTTCTATTTTAATTGTGAGCTCGTAAAAGCGAACTACCCACAAAAACACGCGGAGATGGAGAAGGTAGTATCCAGAAAAATGTCCCAAAGTTGATCTGGAAGTTAGCCAGTGGCAAAAATGGACAGCGAAAATCGAGAGTCTACCCTGTCACCTGTGCCTCATACCTAATTTGTCCTGAAACAACGCGTGAACAGGCATCCCAATGGCGAGAGTTCGCAGCATAATCACTGAATCTCAAGGTGCTCGGTTGTATTTATCTATGAATGGGTGGAAGTCTCATCTACCCCCCCCCCCCCCCCCGGACCCAACAGTTGCTGGCCGTTGGGTAACGAGTATGGAAATCATGCAGCAAAAGACCTGGGTTAACAAAAGGAAACCCCTGTCTTGCACATAGCAGCGTCCCGTAAGAGACAGAGATACCAACGGCCATAAACTACTTCATAAACCAAATAATAAAGACGGTGATGACGACGACGACGACGACGACGACGATGCTGCTACTACTGATGATGATCATAATAATAAAAACAGTAAAAACAATTCTTTTTGTTAGCCCGCCTCCGGCATGAGCTGTTTCTCTTTGATGCTTTGACCTCATTTGGTACCTCGGAGGCTGTGTAGGCGAAACGTGTTATAATGCCCCGGAGTAAGGCACTGCTCGAAGGGAACATGCGCAACGGAGCGGCGTCTCAGTGCAATCGATGTCGATACTTCTCGGTTCCTACTAAATACATGCACGAAGGAAGACAGAGCCCTCAGATAATGCGGAGAACAGTCATTGCGTTCGATATTGGAATGGGTAAGCCAGACTTTGGGTCGAGCAGTGAATGAAGTCTGTCGGACTATCGGCGAGATCAGAAACAAGTTATTCAAATGAAATTCATCCGTGGGAGCCAACTATCAACGGCTGCTAGAAGCATTGTATTGGGAGTGCCCATTATATAATACACCAAGTATTATATATAGTAATTGAAAGAGCAAGACAAATGGCGACCATATAAACGAAACAATGCGGATTGAAGGTGGATTTCTGTATAATGAATGAGCATAACTTCTACTGCTGAATATATGTGAAAGAAGTATGTCGAAGCGCAATCCCAAGTTCCTACAACACTGAAACAATAAGGCGCTACATAATCCACCCCTAATCATTAATTATTATTGATGAATAAACAACAATTTCACGTCGCCGATTCACAACCTACCATAATCATAACTTATGAATTGCATACACCTATTCTCATTTATCGACAAACAAACAAACAAACAAACACACACACACACACGCACACACACACACAAACGAAAGTAAGTCACTCATTAAGCGCATTATGACTTTCCCAGGGCCATTCGACAAGCTAGAGATGATATTTACACTATGTTAGTTGCAAACGGAAAACCAGTGGGCAGCTCCGTAAGCGTCACAAGAAAAAAAGCCCCTGGATCAATATAACAAACAAATAGGCTCAAAGCGTCCGCATACGGCCTAAAACACACAGTTCTACTCCGAAGCTGCACTATATGTATACACCACACTTTCATAATAGATACCACTCCGCCGCTGTGGCCTCCCTCGGGAGAGGCGCGCAAACCCGAGCGGCTTATGCCATTGTAAAACTAACACTTCCCAACCGACCCCTTCCGTCGAGAAAAGTTGTTGCCATAAGTTTGAGCCAAGCAGGCGGGCAGCAGGGAGGAAGACGTAAGGGGGGCGGGGATGAAAGAGGAAAAGGTGGGGTGAAGGGATATTAAAGGCATCGAAAGGCATACGTCGAAGAAGAAGAAACAAAGGTTGCGAAATGAATACAAGGTAAATGTAATCTAATGTGTACTAGGTTGGGAGATAGCAGCAGAAGGGGCCCACAACTAAATACCAATACAATATCACTCTTCGAGGATCGATCGCTAGATTGAAGACAGCCGTCAATCACGTAGGCTGTTGCACAGTTTTATTTTCCTTTCTGTGATATAAGTAATAAATGAGTAAATAATAATAATAACAATGAAAATGATAATAATTAATAGTAAGGTAAAGCAGACTTGAGAATAACAATTTAAAGTTTAAATACTAGGAGACACAACAAGAACGACAACACTGCAAATGACTATGGTAACGATGATGATGATACTAAAGTAGAGACAACATAAACGGATAATTAATGATGATATATTATGAATGATGATGTTGCGGTAACGATAAGGGTAATACTAAGGATAATCTTAATATACATAGAAAATAAATGATGAAAATAGTACCGGTCTGGTTGGCCATCTAGCTTTAACGAACGGAACTAAATAACAATGGATGAAAACAGACGAGAAGTACGCTTCGAAACAGCAACAACGCGCGCATAAAAAGGAACGAACATATTACGAATGTCAAGCAGACACGAAAAGGGAGAAAGTGTGATGGAAGATGTCGACGAAAATTGGACGGCCAAACTCGATTCTCCTTATTCTCTCCGCAATCTATGCGGCCCCCATGGGCTGTGTTTTTCAGTAGTGTGCGCCACGGCCTGCCCGATCATTGAGGTGATGCGAGAGACTCGGAGCGGCCAGGCCGGCAAAACAACGTAACAGTGTGAACGGCATTCAGCTACGGCCAATAGCTCGCGCTCTCACTTTGATGATAGAGTTGGATGACTCATTAAGTCGTCCTTGTTTTTACACCTAACGCGATGAGGAAACAACGGGAATGGGAACAAGGCAGCGAGAGAGAGAGAGAGAGATTTTAACAAAGGATTAGAAAGGGTTTACAGAATACTAGCGAAGTTAGTACGGAACGACAAACAACAAAAACACAGAAGGTACGCCAGCCGAAAAAAAGGTTCCCTGTAAAGTCCTGATGGTTTAAATATTACGATATTACGCGCTAAATAAATGTTCAATGTCAACAGTCATATTAAAGATAAAATAGTGCCCTCATTCCTAGGTAGGAACATAACAAGACTTAGGCAATATTATTGAACATTTTAAGGTGGGAACTTTTTGCTATTTGCCTGAGAGCCTATTTGATCACCAACTATAAATCGAGTGAAGTTGAGATTAAGAAACGTTATCTCTAAAATGTATGATATGGTTGTACGTTCAGCGTTAGAAAAACATGGGCTGAACTTATTTCGAGTGCAAGCACTTAGTAAAGTTTATTTGGGGAGCTGCTAGCTGTATAATGTACTTAGTAAAGAACAACTAACACATCTTATACTTGATATTATGAGAGTAAGCGGCATTTATATATCATTCAAAAGTATCTATTGTTCTTCTCTTACAAACAACGACGATTTCTCAGATAGCGTTGCTCAGTAAATGTAGCTTTTAACAGTATTTGAACCACCAAACGCCTTACATATATTTTTGCAAGTAGTCAAGTTGCCTAACATAAAGAACCCCGTTAGCCGATGAAAGCTAATTATTTGGTAAAAAACATAACTTATTTGACTAATCAGTAGCAATAAGCTGATTTTAATTCAAAATATCATTGAATATTAGTTGGGGGATAAACCCGGGCCTTTCAGGTTAGGCACGAGAAGAACAGAGCCCCTACCCCTCGCTCCCCTTCAAAGAATGTCCGTGTTCGCATTATATTCTATTACATTTACTTCACAAGTACCAATTGGGCTTAACATTAAGTATATTCAATACTGTATGTAAGTTACCGGTGGAGCTCCGTAATACTGTCAAGTTTGTGAGTTTATCGTCTGTTGGAGTGTATCTGCCACCGCACGTGCCCGTTTACGAGAACAGATTTTTTGTGTTGAAACCACGCAAGACGTTTCCCTTCCAGACGTCCCGCGAATCTTATGTACGTACAAATAGGCTATATATACGTATGCATATACTGGGCTACAATCTTTTGGTGAAAGCCTGGCTATCCTCACGTGTCGCTCCGCCTATTATTAGCGATGGTAGCTCACGATTCGAAGCAGTCCGGGCAATACGATAAAGCGTTCAACTTTTACACGAAAGATATGGCGTTCGGACCCTGTCTAAATATTGTTTGATATTATTAACATTTAGGTGTTTGTGAGAATAAGTTGTTTTATAGGGTTGCACGAAATAATCTGCTTCTAGTAGCGTTACATCATATTCTACATGAGTAAATAAAAGGCACGGTAATTATTTTCTACTGATTTGACCCTGTGGGCCTTGATCTTCCCGACTTGTTTTGCCGTCACCGTACCCCAAAGTAATGAAAATAACCGGAGGCCCTAGAAAAGAGTTGAAGTTCGTGTGAAGTCGTTCCAGTTCTAGCGAAGTAAGTCGAGACAATATTATAAGGCTTGATTTATATCATCTTTCGGTCCACGCGACCCTTACGAAACTTGACGGGGCCGACACTTAGCTAAGTGAACAAACTGAAATATTTAGACGACTAAAACAGCATTTGTGTCAAATACCTGGATAAACTGTGAATGTTAGCATCGGATTGTCGCACAGCCCAGCTTACACCCATTCGATTACCCATAACTGATACGCATCAAAGAGGCAAGGCTTGACGCCTCTATACGTTCTAAGTTACTTTCATAAGTTTAGTTCTGCCATGTGGCCCATTTTCGTCTGAAGCTTTTTTCTTTTACAGACACGACACCACCGCAGTGATGTCAGCTTGACGCGAATGCCTGACGGACCAGCAAAGGCAATACCTACATTATTTCTGCTGTTGGCCGATTTTGAGTTAAGTTCCAACTAAGTGTTGTCCTCTCTCGGAGTCGCTGTCTATCTTTCCTCTTCTTTTTCACCTCTTCACGCCAAGCTAGTGAGAAACAGCGCCAGACGCACGAGGATAAACAGACCGACAGATAGGGCCGCTGGTGACCGATCGGTCTGAACGTGTGTGTGTAGTCCTAGCGCGGGTATGTATGAACAGAGACGAGCGAAAGCCTTAGAAAAGTTTAAGTGTTTCCGCCCGAAACCATATAGTGTCATATAAATAGTGAATCGTATAGGGCTGTCTTCAGCACAGCTGCTGGCGTAGTTGATTCGCTAATTTACCATACATACTGCCGTTTTGAATCGCTGCTTGGCGGATGGTGCGATACGGACACTGGCTCGACACTATCCAACAGGATAGAGTCGCTTTACGCTGCGATATCGAATGGCTCTGCGCAAGTAGCGCAATTGATTCTTCCCCACCAAAGCAGTACTAACGGCATTATTAAGATGACAAGTCTATTCGTCGTCGAGCCCAAAGCCAAGTGCTGGGTTTGTCTGTTACTAGATCGTAGGTGTAATATAAATAGGGAAAGGTAGCAGCGTGCTTCGGCTGGT